GCAGTAGAACGTTGGGGATTCCTGGTTTCTATTCCCGTCCCTGGAAGGGCAACGTTATCTAGTGGTTAAAGCAGTGGCTACAGGTGCATAGATGTTTCATATCCAGTCTGAGGAAGCATGGATAAGATTTGGGTATGTCATATTACAGTTCTAGGTTCTGCTTCTGGTTCTAAGGAAAGGAAGGAGTAAGAGCAGCAGAATAAGGATAATGGACTTCAAAAAAGCAGACTTTAACAAACTCAGAGAACTGGTAGGTAAGGTCCCAGGGGAAAAAAACCTAAGGGAAAAAGGAGCTCAGGAGAGCTGGCGGTTCCTCAAGGAGACAGTGTTAAAGGCACAACTGCAAACTATTCCAATGCAAAGGAAAGATAGGAAGAATAGTAAGAGGCCAATATGATTGCATCCGGAACTCTTCAATTACCTGAATATCAAAAAGGAATCTTACAAAAAGTGGAAACATGATCAAATTAATAAGGATGACTACAAAAGAACAGCACAAATATGTAGGGACTGTGACGGTGTACCCCATAAGGCTTCATGGGAATATGCTTATGAATGTATATATGATAAAACTGGAATATGTTTTATGCTACATATTGCATGTAACATATCTATGTAAAGGTTATGATCTACTGAATACATTCCTCCTATTTGTATGCATGTATCATTTTTGTACTTGAAGTTAGGAATATTGGCTGTATACTTGCTTGATTTCTATTGAGAAAGGAATGTGCAAATTAAATGCCCAATCAAGAACCACTTAAGCCAACAATGAACTTGAAGACGCCAATCCACATCAGAGCTTTCCCAGGAATGCGGCTTGGCTGGTAAGAAACTCAGTCATGCATGGACATGTGACTTGCCCATGTGACTCCAAAAACTCCATCTTGGAGCAGGACTTTGCATAGGAGAGAGGAGGGGGTCTCCCCCGACAAGGGAAAGTCTATTTAAGCCTGTGGGAAACCCCTCTATTTTGTCTTCAGCTGGCTAAAGAGATATCCTCTCCACCCCCAAGGATACCTGAAAGAGACTGGAATGAAGGACAGTAACTACAGGGGGTGTGAGTGATTGCTGGACCCAGACTAGCAGGAGACTAGTGTGTAAAAGGAAGCTTACTGGAACTGGTGAGGTTTTATCTGTATTCAGTTTTCTCAGACATAGACTTGTGTGTTCTATTTTATTTTGCTTTGTTCTGTCTATTACTACTTGGAACCACTTAAATCCTACTTTCTGTATTTAATAAAATCACTTTTTACTTATTAATTAACCCATAGTATGTATTAATACCTGGAGGTGGCGGGGAGGGGGGCAAACAGTTGTGCATATCTCTCTATCAGTGTTATAGAGGGCGAACAATTTGTGAGTTTAATAAACAGATTTATTTGGGGTTTAGACTCCATTGGGAGTTGGGCATCTGAGTGTTAAAGACAGGAACACTTCTGTAAGTTGCTTTCAGTTAAGTCTGCAGCTTTGGGGCACGTGGTTCAGACCCTGGGTCTGTGTTGGAGCAGACGAGTATGTCTGGCTCAACAAGACAGGGTTCTGGATTCCCAGGCTGGCAGGGAAAGCAGGGGCAGAAGTAGTCTTGTCACATCAGTTGACAGTTTCCAAGGGGGTTTCTGTGATCTAGCCCGTCACAGGGACAAAATCAGAAAGGCTAAGGCAAGGAACATAAAAGGTAATAAGAATGAGCAAGAGAAACATGAAGGTAAGTGTGTAGGTCCTCTGTTTAGAGGGAAAGGAGAGCTAATAACTGATGACATCAAGAAAAGTGAGGTGTTTAATGCCTATTTTTCTTCAGTCAGACCAGAAACTCAACACAATTAATATTGACAACCCGGGAGAAGGAATGCAAGCCAAAATAGAGAAAGAACAGGTTAAGTTAGATGTGTTCAAGTCAGCAGGGCCTGATGAAATTCATACGAGGGTACTTAAGGAACTAGCTGAAGCAATCTCAGAGCCGTTAGCAATTGACGGGAGGGGTCCCAGAAGACTGGAGAATGGCAAACATATTATCTACCTTTAAAAAGGGGAACAAGGAAGACCTGGGGAATTATAGATGACAGCTTAACTTCAATACCTGGAAAGATAATGGATCAAATTATTAAACAATCAATTTGTACATACCTGGAGGATAATAGGATTATTAAGGAATAGTCAGCATGGATTGTCAAGACCAAAATCATGTCAAATCAACTAGAGGAGAAGCAGTAGGTGTGATATATCTTGATTTTAGTAAGGCTTTGGACACAGTTCCACATGACATTCTCATAAGTAAACTAGGGAAATGTGGTCTAGATGAAATTACTATAAAATGGGTGCACAACTGGTTGAAAGACTATACTGAAAGAGTAGTTATCAATGATTTGCTGTCAAATTGGGCAGGTATATCTAGTGGGGCCGCAGGGGTCAGTCCTGGTTCTGGTACTGTTCAACGTTTTCATTAATGACTTGGATAATGGAGTGGACAGTATGCTTATAAAATTTGCAGATAAACCAAGCTGGGAGGTACTGCAAGCACGCTGGAGGACTGGTTAAAAATTCAAAATTACCTTGACAAATTGGAGAATTGGTCTGAATTCAACATGTTGAAAATCAATAAATACAAGTGTAAAGTACTTCACTTAGGAAGGAACAATCAAATGTACAACTACAAAATGGGGAATAACTGGCTAGGTGGTAGTACTGCAGTATCTGGGGGTTATAGTGGATCACAAACTGAATGTGAATCGTCAATCTGATGCAGCTGCAAAAAAGGCTAATAGGATTCTGGGGTATATTAACAGGAATGTTGTATGTAAGACCCAGGAGGTAATTGTCCAACTCTACTCGGCACTGGTGAGGCCCCAGCTGGAGTACTGTATCCAATTCTGGGCACCACAATTTAGCAAGAATGTGAACAAATTGGAAAGAATCCAGAGGAGAGCAATGAAAATGATAAAAGATTTACAAACCTGACCTATGAGGAAAGGTTAAAAAAACTGGGCATGTTTAGTCTTGAGAAAAGAAGACTGAGAAGCAACCTGATAAAAGTCTTCTATTATGTTAAGGGCTATTATAAAGAGGACTGTGATCAATTGTTCTCCCTGTCCATTGAAGGTAGGTCAAGGAGCAATGGGAGATTTAGATTAGATATTAGGAAAAACTTTCAAAAGATAAGGGTAGTTAAGCTCTGGAATAGGCTTCCAAAGGAGGTTGTGGAATCTCCATCATTGGACACATTTGAAAACAATTTGGACAAATACCAATCATGGATGGTCTAGGTTTACTTGGTCCTACTACACTACAGGGGGTTGAACTTGATGACTTATCAAGATCCCTCCCAGCCCTACATTTTTATGACTCTATGATTCATAGGTGCTGGAACTTGGGGTGCTGGGGGTGCTCCTGCACCCTTGGCTTGAAGTGGTTTCCATCATATACAGGGTTTACATTTTGGATCAATAGCTCTCAGCATCTCCACTATACAAATTGTTCCAGCACCCCTGATATGATTCTACCAGAAGTGACATTGTGCAAACACTCAGTTAACTGAATTGTAAATTGGAAGGAATAATACTTGCCTAGCTCCTCGGGAGGTATGAGGCCTGTCACAAGAAGAAAGGCAGGGAAATGTGCAGAAATATAAACACTAGTGAGTGGAAGAGTTGAGCTTAGAAGTCATGGCTGCCTGTCTCCTAGTCTAGAACACACTCCCATAAACTATACAAGTGTCCTACAGTACAAGACCATGTACTCTCTGTCTCCCTTTCACAGAACATTGCCTAGCTTTGCAGTGCTACAGAACAGAAAGGAAGATTTACCTAAAATGCAAAATGTTCCCTATAATCTGGGGACCGTTTGCAGGTCTCATTTGAAAGAGAGGACCACTAACATCATGGTACAGCCTAACACTTGCTGAGCCATTTGGCCAGTATTGACTCAGAGAGTGAGGGGCCACCTGCTAAACCACCAAAACCACTTCCTGCTGCATTTTGGTGTTCCTGAGCGGTCTCCCCTCCAGGTACTGATCCAGACTCACATTGCTTGGCTTAGCAATGCTGAAAGAGAACATCATATGACTTTATGAATAGTTAAATAATTTTATGTGCATATTTAATGAGAGTCTGGAAGAGCAGCAAAAATGGATTTAAAAGAAATAAACATCTGAAAAAAAGGAAAATGTATTTCTGGGAGCAATCTGAAGTGAAAAGAAAATAGATGTAAAATATTTAAGAAACCAGAGCTGCAAATTGTTACTTTGGCAAACAGACCATACCCATATCAGTTAGTCCCATTGAGTTCAGTGTAAGAACTACTTGTAGAAGGGTCTGTAGGATCAAGCCCTCACTCCCTGAAATGTTGTGTTGCCTGGGTTCCGCTGCAGCCTTTCCCTGACTTCCCTCCTGTTCCTCTGAGGCATCTAGATAACCCTTTATACCATCATTCCAAAAATCCCAGTGATTCCATAGTAGTTTGCATTGCCTCTATTTTTCTGCATATTGATAATCAGATTTACAAAAATGTGAGTTCAGTTCGGTTGTGCTATCGTCAAGTAGTTCTTATTTGTACTGTTCTTATTGGTATTGTTAACTTCTATACTGTTGTACCTAAAGCCAACCAGGCCAGGACCCCATTGTGCTAGACACCCTACAAACATACAGTATAGTAAAGGTTAGTTCCTGCCACAAAGAGCTTATAGGTTCCATTGATTTCAGTGGGTCTGCTCACATGCGTAAGGGCTGCCAGGTTGCTCCCAAAAGTTGTTTTTAAAAGTTTCTGGCTTTGTTTTTAGCTTATGAAAAAGAAGGCAGATTTTAACTAGTCTATAGCCTGGAACTCAGCAGGGTTCCCCCATCCCACTGAAATATTTCATTGCCATTCATGCTACAATTTTGGGAAGACATGCAGCCCCTTGACAGACATTATACACTTCCATTTACAGTGACAACCTTCAGAAATGGTGTTTTGTTTGCTCCATTGACATTTAAATTCTTTTCCACATTTTTCTGTTGGTTTAGACAATCTGAATCTTGAAATGATGGAAGGATACCTGCAGCTTCCTGGGTAAACTGGTGCTATTGGCAGCCAAGCCAAACACTCGCGCTATAGTTTGCCACTCCACCAGAATTCAGAAAAAGTTAAACTCGTAGACTCCATCCCAAGCAGACCGTGAGTAAATGTTTAGTTATCTTATTTCTCTTTGATTTGACAACCAACCTGTTCTGCTGGGGTTTTTTTTAAACGCTGTCTTTGAAAAATATATTGGAGTCAGATTTTCATGAGCCTCTGTCTTTCTGGCTTTGCTGAAATCACAAGAACCTCTCTGGGTCAATGGTGGGTTGGGAAATTGCTTTTATAGACTCTGCTTCTGGAGAATCCCTGGCTCATATAAGGAAAATGTTACTTAGGCAGAATGTTTTGATGTAAATCAAAAAGTGTCAAACATCTTATTTAATACTGTCAAAAGAGCATCCCTTTCATGAAATATTGGAGATGTTCCAATGTACAGTTGAGCTGGGTAGTGTTATGTGTCAGATTAAGACCTTCTGTGTTGAATCCTTGGTATTGCTTTGTGGTTACAGAGGATAATTACAGTACAGAATGTGTTGGCTTTGCTATTGCTGACGCTTTTGCTGACAATGCTTAGATATTCACTTGAGTAGTGGAATTTCTTTGGCCGTGGAATTCACTCCACTAGAGGGGAGGCCGCCAATGTGCAGGGCACATCCTTTTGGTCAAACATTTGTATGACTATGTGTGATGGCTAAAAAAGTTTTTCTTACAGTGTGATGGCACTGAGTATTATGTAAAAGGGGCTGTTTATGTTGCTTATTGCAAGGAGTTTAATCCTATGTATGACTACCGGTTTTTATGTCTCATGTTCCCTTGTGACACAGACAAGTATGCATAAAAATTATTAAATGCATTTAAAATCATTATTTTTTAGACTCAATATCATAACCACATCAGATTGCATCTGGCTGAAACCCTTAAATTAAATTTCTCCTTGGTTAACTAATTCTTTTAAATTCATTGGAATTACATTAAGGTTCAATTTGTCTGAGAAAGCAGAATTTTCAAGCCCTGGTCACTTTAGTTGGGGTGTCCAGTTGTACTTTGGGATATTCAAATAATCACTGGAGTGACTCAGCTGGGCATTTGAGTGCCTACGCATGGATTTGAGAGCTTATTTGCAGACCTGGGAGTCCAGGTTTGAAAACTGGGCTCTGTTTGTACAGCTTCAGTCATTTTGCACTATTTGTCTTTAAAAATTAATGTGCCCACTGCCATGGGCAGACAGCTGAGTTGTTTGTCCCAGGCCCAGTGGTCCCTCCTTTTCAGGCCTGCCTAAGCTCTGACCTCTAGCTGGAGCCTTTGCCTTTCTGACTTTAACTTTCAAGCTTCCTTGTTGGGGGTCTCCATCTTTTGACTGGCTGCCCAGATAGTGGGGTCAATGGAACGAGTGCACTCTAGCAGCCTGGCACAATCTGACCATTGCTGGGTTGTTTATACAGTACTGATTTTGTGAGAGAAGGGTCAGCCTCTGAATTACCAGTACCACTTCCTGATGCACTTTGGTTTTCCTTAGAGATCGCCCATCCCAGTACTGACCCAGTTTCACCTTGCTTTACTTGGCAGTGCTAATGGGACACCATCACAAGATTTTGATGAGTACTTAATTTTTTTCAAGTGTGTATTTAATTAGCCCCACAAAGCCGCAATACTGGCTCTAGAAGAAATCAATGATGAGACCTTGAAAACAGCATAAAACAAAATGGATAGAAATGTGCAAAATCTCATAAACATGTTTTCATTAGTTTTGCATAGGCCTGACATTTACAGTATCTGAAAGAGTATTGGACATAACAGTGTGATATATCCTTTATCGCTGTTACAGAGAGAAATAAATGGGCACGTTAATGTAACATCCAGTAGAGTGTCTCAGTGTCCTTTACCCAGTTCTTCATGCCTAACGTCATATGGAATGTCCATCTTGCTAGCCATATGTGTGTTCAGTAGAAGCTCACTTATCCTGTCTGCAGAGTATCTCTGTGGCATGAAGCCGGCTTGTTCCTGCTGAAATAAGTAAAGGAAGTACCTCCCTTACTTACTTCAGCAGGAACAAGCAGCCTTCTTGCCACAGAGATACTTTGTAGATAGTATAAGAAAGTTCCTACTTAACACACACGTTGCTAGCAAGATAGATGATACCATTTCAGTCTTCTTATTTAGGGCCTGATCCAAAGCCCGCTCAAGTGAATGGAAGTCTTTCTATTGACTTAAACAGGGTTTAGCTCAGGCCTTTAATGTGGAAATGGTCTTCACCTGAATAAGATTATTTATTTAAAACGGGTGTGAAATTTGTTAAATTAAAACTTTGGAAAAATCTTCTCTCCCCTGAAATAACAGCTCTGATATTTTTCAGATAGAGCTGGGAGAATACTGCAGAATAGCTTGTGAGTATTCAGTCAAGTTTTTAAATGAAGTTGTTTGAAATGAAGAATAGGGTCCTCCTTGTTTCTGTCAGATCTCTGAACAACTCAACATATTCCTCTGGCTCATACCCTCTCTATATATGCATGGTCTCACTAACCCATTTTCAAACATAAGATATCCACTCTCTTTCTGGACAAGGAAATTAGGACAAAATTACCTATAGAGCCAGTCTGTGTAACACCTTAATCATGCAAAACGTCTGCTGTTGAGTAGATTCTCCCCTTGATGAGAAGTTGAAACTCCCAATAACATTAATGGAGAATATAACCATAGATCATCTGGATTTTTTTTTTACAGTATTCAACAAGATCTTGGTATAGATAATATTAACAGGAGACTAACCAAGACAATTATGATGCTTGGACTATGGCTCTGAGTGATGCATGATTATAATTTTCCAGATTGCATTCAGATGTCAAAACTGGAAGCTGTTTCTGCAAACAGTCAGTATTCAGATTGACAACAGAGAAGATGGTAATAATAACCAATAGAAAATGAAATGAGGAAATCTATATAGCATATTATTGGCATGCAGAGTCATTAGATGGTGAATGTTTTAGTTAACGCGTAGACAAACAATAATAGACGTTGAATTTGGCTACTGAATATAGTTATTTCAAGTTTCTTTCAAAATGCTGGGAAACATGACCCACAGATTTATCTGTGCATTCCTTTTGCCTTATTTGAGTGAAAAAGATAATTCACCAGCATGATCATCTATCTATCTAGCCGTTTCTGAGCACCTCTGTAATATCCAAGAAAAGTCTCTGACCCCAACTACCATGTTTGTTTCATATTAGACCAAAGTGTATTACTGTTTTTTAATGAGCAATATTTGAGGCTTATCCGACAAAGGATTTAGGCACATAGATGGGACAGTTTGGGGAAAAATTATACTGCTGCTTCCCAGAGTAAGGCTAAATGGAGATTTTCAGGGCTTGGTTGCATTAAGAGCCATTTATATGGTAATGGCAATGTAAACAGCAACCAGGCCCTCATTCTCCAAGGCTTTCAATTAGATACCTTTCATGAATATTGAAATTCACAGGAGATCTTTTATAAAAAGGAATCACTCACAGTGTTTCAGCACAAACTGGGTAGCCCAGAGTCATAAGAAACCTACAAAAATAAATTTAAAAGACTAGTTTTAATGTGTTTCTAAATGTTTCAGACCTCCAGAACAGTTCAGGTCTCGTTCTAAGCTCCAGGATGATGCTTCACGCAGACTGGTGCTTTTATGCTGACATGCACAGACACATAAAATATACATTTTTGAATTTTGTTCAAAGTCAGCGTTAGCCTAAAAAAAGTGGATGATCCAAAGAAAATGTGTTTAGTGTCCAAAATGCCTGTTGTTCTCTCACTTCAAATATTGACATTTGTCTGGGTGACTCTTGCTGTTTATGTTGTTCACAGACCAATTTAATTTAAGCTAGGTTGCCAAGAAATAGGATTTGTCTCAGTTGGAAATTTCATAATCAAGGCCACGCTTCTGTATACAATTTTTGTCTAACTTACATTTTGTTTGGAAATTGCAATAAATCAATTTAATTTGAAAAGCTACACACCCTATTAAACTTTCTACAGTGGATCTCATAAAGTGACATACAGTCTGCATTCATTCACAACAACCTTCAGTATTTCCTTTTCTTTTTCAAGTGTGTGTGTGTTATGTGTGTGTGTTCAGACAGGTAACATACAAGGTCTGATCTTTTGGTACTCAGGGTTTTAATTCACTCAGTTGTTTGTTTTTAGTTGTCTCTCCCACACAGCTGTTACAAGGAGAGATTTTTTTGAAGCTTATAAGAGCAGATCTACAGCTATATAGAAAGTAGAGGATAGCATTCTTTCTACTCTTAGCTTGGCCGAATGATTTATTTTTGTCATGAAGAAAGGCAGCTCCTCCTAAAGACTTTTGAACTTTGCCATCTTGACAAAGGTGACGCAATAGTGTTATAACATTTATGTCTCACTTTTTGATTGTTGTGTTGTCATGTCATGGGGTAGTGTATCAACAAAGGACTAAAAGACTGTGCTACTATCAGCTTGTTCACACTGTGCCCTTTAGTCCCACTTTTTACTTTGTGTGATTATTCAGGCTTATATTTGCAGTCAGTATGAACAGATGAAAATAAAATTCCAGTAATAAACTGTATCCTTCTACCATCTTTCTGTGTGACACAAAATATTTCAGTGTTGGAATAGACTAAATCCACTACTATCTGCACCACAAAGAATAATACTGGCTTTCCTGCACCCATAATGGCCATTTTCCAGAAACAAGGGTGGGGGAAATTCCAAGACCTTGTGGAGCTCATGTTCTCTTGAGAGCAAAAATTGAAGAAAAGTGCAGGTATTCTACTGCAGTATATTGATGAAAGGAAAGCAGAGATTTTGACTCTGTAGCACAGAGTATTAACAAAGAGAGTGCTACGGTACAGAAATTTATTTTGATAAATATGAAGCATACATTATATCAGATGCAATAACAGTTTTTGCTGGATACAAATACCATTGAGGAGACATGTCTTTTTCCATATTTTACTAAGTTATTGTTTGTTGGTCTGGCATACTCTAAAACAGATTGACCTAATAGCCTCATATTTGGAGTCACAAATTGCTTTTGGAGAGTTCTGGTGCCTTTGAATGATCTAGAGGGCTTACAGGGTAATTAAAAATAATT